ACAGCAACCTCAACTCCTGGGCTCAAGGGATCCTCTGCCTCAGCCTCCAATAGCTGGGATACAGTCATGCGCACCATGCCCGGCTAATTTTTCTATATATATTAGTTGGCCAACTAATTCTTTCTATTTATAGTAGAGACGGGGTCTCGCTCTTGCTCAGGCTGTTTGAACTCCTGCCTCGAGCATCTGCCCGCCTTGGCCTCCCAGAGTGCTAGGTTTACAGGCATGAGCCACCGTGCCTGGCCTAATCTTTTTAAATAAGTTACAGAAAGATGGAAAACATGATATTTTATATTTAGCCACTAATTTTTCATTTTCAGTGCCTTGCATTCCTTTTTTTAGATTTGAGTTTCCATCCAGAATCATTTCCCTTTGGCTCAAAGAATATGCTTTAGCATTATTTTTAGTCAGATCTATGACAAATTATGTTTTTATTTATCTAAAAATGTTTTACCTTTGTTTTTGAAAGATAATTTTTGCTTTGAAGGGTATTTTTGCTGGATATAGAATTTTTCATTCTCAATTTTTTTTGTCTTTCAGCACTTTATTTATTTATTTATTTTTTTTTATTAACTTTAGGCCATATGCTACAGCAGAATCAGCACTTTAAATTATCTCTGTCCTTCTTTGTTTCTGCTGAGAAGTCAGCCATTTTCATGTAATTGTTCCCCTGTATATAACACATCCTTTTTGTCTCGCTGTTTTCTAAATTTTACCCTTACACAGGTTGAACATCTCTAATCTGAAAATCCAAAATGCTTGAAAATCTGAAACTTTTTAAGCTCCAACATGATACTCAAAGGAAATAACTCATTTCAGATTTTTGGATTTGTTTTGCTAAGCCAGTTAAGTATAATACAGATATTCCAAAATCCAAAAAAAATTTCAAAATTTAAAACACTTCTTAAGCATTTCAGATAAGAGATATTCAACCTGTATTTGCTTTTTACCAATTTGATTATGGTATAGTTTTCTTTGTGTTTACTCACTAGCCTTCTTATGTATGTTAATTTTTTTATTGTATTTTTACCAGATTTGGGAAAAGTTTAGCCATTATTTCTTTTTCTTTTTCTTTTTTTGAGACAGTCACTGTTGCATGGGCTAGAGTGCTGTGGCATCAGCCTCGCTCACAGCAACCTCAAACTTCTGGCTCAAGTGATCCTCCTACTTCAGCCTCCCAAGTAGCTGGGACTACAGGCATGCACCACCATGCCCGGCTAATTTTTTCTGTATATTTTTTAGTTGTCCAGCTAATTTCTTTCTATTTTTAGTACAGATAGGGTCTCGCTCTTGCTCAGGCTGGTCTGGAACTCCTGAGCTCAAACGATCCTCCTGCCTCGGCTTCCCAGAGTGCTGGGATTATAGGCGTGAGTCACCTTGCCTGGCCAAGCCATTATTTCATTTAAAAATTTTTATTCTTAACTTTTTTTAAAAAAGAAACATAGGTCCAGCTATGTCACCCAGACTGGCCTCAGCCTCCTGCCTCAGCCTCCCCAGTAAGTAGAACTGTAGGCACACACCACCATACCTGGTTTTTAAAAAAAGGGTTTTTTGGACCAGGTGCGGTGGCTCACGTCTGAATCTCAGCACTCTGGGAAGCTGAGGCAGGAGGATCACTTGAGCTCGGGAGTTTCAGACCAGCCTCAGCAAGAGTGAGACGCTGTCTCTACAAAAAATAGAAAATTTAGTCCTGCATGGTGATGTTCTCCTATAGATGCAGCTACCTTGGAGGCCAAGGCAGTAAGATCACTTGAGCCCAGGAGTTTGAGGTTGCAATGAGCTAGGATGACACCACTGCACTCTAGCCAGGGCAACAGAGTGAGACTCTTGTGTCAAAAAAAAACAAAAAAAGTTTTTCTTTAAATTTTTTGTCTCTTCTCCTTCTGGAACTCTAATTATATGTATAGTAACTTGGTGTTGTCTCACAAGTTGCTGGAGATCTGTTTGGGTGTGTTTAAATCTTTTTTCTCACAGTTCTTCAGATGGAAAACTGATACTGATCTGTATTGGAGTTAATTGACCCTTACTTTTGCCGTCATCATCTTCTGTGTTGCCCATTCAGATTATTTATTTATTTATTTATTTTGAGACAGAGTCTCACTTTGTTGCTCAGGCTAGAGTGAGTGCCGTGCGTCAACTAGCTACAGCAAACTCAATCCTGGGCTCAAGCGATCTACTGCCTCAGCTTCCGAGTAGCAGGACTACAGGCATGCGCCACATGCCCGGCTAATTTTTTTTTTTTTAGTTGGTCAATTAATTTCTTTCTATTTTAGTAGAGACAGGTCTCGCTCAGGCTGGTTTGTTTTTTTTTTTTTTTTTTTTTTGGCCTTACACACCAGAGAATCAGGCTGGTTTTGAATTCCCAACCTTGAGCAATCCGTCTGCCTCGGCTTCCCAGAGTGCTAGGATTGCAGGCGTAAGCCACCACGCCTGGCCACATTCAGATAATTTTTAATTTTAAGTATTGTCATTTCAATTGTAAAATTTCCTTTTTTATATAGTTTTCATTTGTCTTCCCTTTGTGTTCATTCATCATTACCATCTCTTCCTTTAACCCTGTGAACATATTTATAATGGCTACTTTAACATCATTGTCTGCTAATTCCAACATTTTGTTAATCTCAAAGTATTTTTCTATTGAGTTCATTTTCTCTTGACTCTGGTCACATTTTCCTTTTTTCATGTTTTGTAATTTTTTTTTTTTTTTTTTTTTTTTTTTGAGACAGTCTCGCTTTGATGCCCAGGCTAGAGTGAGTGCTGTGGTGTCAGACTGGCTCACAGCAACCTCAAACTCCTGGGCTCAAGCAATCCTGGTGCCTCAGCCTCCCGAGTAGCTGGGACTACAGGCATGTGCTACCATGCCCAGCTAATTTTTTCTATATATATTAGTTAGCCAGTTAATTTCTTTCTATTTATAGTAGAGATAGGGTCTCGCTCTTGCTCTTGCTCAGGCTAGTTTCGAACTCCTGACCTCGAGCAGTCCTCCCTCCTGGGCCTCCCAGGGTGCTAGGATTACAGGCGTGAGCTACCGCGCCCAGCCCCATGTCTTGTAATTTTTTAATTGTATTCAGGGTCTCCTGGGTGACACATTATAGAGATTCTGAATTTTGTTATCTTTCTCTGAAGAGTATTGATTTTTTTTCTATCAAGTAATTAAATTACCTGTGGAGGCTGGGTTTTATACTTTGTTAAGGCAGGTCTGTTTCAGTTTTGCTGTTAGGTCTTAGGGTGAATCTTTGGTCCTGGGAAATAATCTTTATGCCTAAAGCATGGTCTTTAGGATTTTGGTATAAAGCCTCAGATGTTTACCAACCCCCTCTAAGTTGGTAAGATTGAAACTCCGAATTCTGTCTCTTCTATGGTGAGTGGTGCTGAAATCTTTTCTTCGCTTTTCAGCCTTGCAGCTGCTGCCTTCTGCTAGACTTACTGGAACCTTATTGGAAACTGCACACATTTGTGGTTCAAGAGTCTTAAGTATTTGGACAAAAGTTTATAGCAGATTTGAGAGCTCCCTACTTTGAGTCTCTCCTTTCTAGGATATTTCACTGAATATACAGCCATTCTAGCAGTCCATGACTCCAGTATCTTTTTACCTTATGCTGCTTAGACTGGACAGTACTCTCAGTGGAAAATCTATTTTTTTACTTATTTTTTGCTTCAATTTTTTTAGAGACAGGGTCTCACTCTATCACCCAGGCTGGAGTGTTATGGCACAATCATAGTTCACTATAACCTTGAACTCCTGGCCTCAAACATTCCTTCCTCCTCTGCCTCCCAAAGCATTGAGATTACAAGTATGAGTCACTGCACCCAGCTAAAAACTTCTTTAAACATAATCCCAGTGACTCGAGAGGGTGAGGTGGGAGGATCATTCAAGGCTAGGAGTTCAAGACAAGCCTAGGCAACATAGTGAGACCCCATCTCTAAAAAGAAATTTTAAAAATTAAAATAAATAAATATAAATGTAACCCAATGTGGCTCCCTTTTGAGAATCCCCTCCAGTTTCTTCCTGCTTTTTTCATTGCTCCTCAATGCCTTCCAATAGTTGCTTTTTCATAGTTTTGTTGAGAGTTTATAATTATCTGCAGGAGAGTTAATCCAATATCAGTTACTCAATCATTGCTGGACTGAAATCTGGTTTTCTTACTATAATAGATTATGGAACATTACTGGGATTGATTCAAGCTAAATATCTATAAGCTTAAAATATAGAATATTTAGTGGGTTAATGGCCAAGTAAAACAGTAGTTTTGGTCTTCCAAAACTACTGTTTTGGTCTTTTTAATCTGGTCTTCCTCTGCATTTGGCTGAGTAAAATTTGAGGATATCATCTAACAGAAGTAGTTGTTGCCATTTTCTATGTTATCTACATTTTAAAAAATTGTATTTGTGGTGTAAGAGCCACAAAAGCACTTTTAATCCCTCTGGCTAGATGCTTCAGGAGGAACGTGGAAAGTTTCCATGGAATATAAAATGGGAAATGAGCATAAGGCAAGATGTTACAGTTTGTCAGTAATGCTACTGGTCATTTCAGTTTTCCTACTTAAATGGAAACCTAATTTTAAATATAACAGGTGAACAGGAAAAAATAGTATTGTATTTTCTACTACTAGTCCAAACTCAGGAATAGACATTTAAGATGCAAATTAGTGCACATTTGTAACTTCCCAAACAGCCAGTTAGGGGTCATGGAATTTAAGGACAGCCACATCTCCCTGGCATGGCAGACCCACTTCTCTAGTGTGCTCTACTCTGTTTTGCTATGGGCTCAGTTCATAACTTTAGATAATGAGATAATGAATCTCTTCTCTCTGAACTTCCCTAAATAAAAAAGAAAAGTTAAGAATAGACAATATATAAGGTCTCTTTCTGTGTTAAGTTTCAACAAGTCTATGGGAATTGTTTGAAGACAATCCATTGATTTAAGTGGACTTTAACCTATTTAAATCACAAATTTAATTCTTCGTGTGTGGGTTTTTTTTTGTTTTGTTTTGCTTAAGGTTGCAATTGTGGCTCAAGATCTGGCAGCATTCCATACTGCCTCATCAGAAATGGGGCACCAGCCGCATAGCCATCACTTAGTAACCACAGAAACCAGACCTCTGACCTTAGTGGCAACATCCAATGGCACCCAGATTGCAGTTCAGGTGAGTACAAGGGCAGGCTATCTCAATCGACAGCAGTGCTACTCAGAGCTCTCACCTCGTACACTGTGCTTGGTGTGTAACCCTTACAGGAGGCGTGCAAAATACTCTATGTCATCTAATCTACCTTAACCACTTGGGTACGGGCGCTCACCATCCACGAAACCTTGCCCACAGCCAGCACTCATAATCCTCATGATAGTTTGTGCTGTGCATTGACGACGAATCCATTTTGCTCTTGTGTGATGAGGAAAGCTTGAAAGCACTGAAAGCTTGTTTTACTTTACAGGCAGCTTCACTTGTAATGTAAATCAGATAGGTAACATATACATATATGTTTTCATTATGTTATTTTTAAATGTTCACAATTTTATTTTGAAAAATGAAAAATTAGAAAAGTCATATCACAGCTCCCGGCTACAGTCGCTGTGTGCGTTCATCTGTGGCTATCGACTATAGTCCATGCTGGTTCCATAGTGGTTAAGGAAACTGCTGTGTTTGAGGTGAATTCAAAGAGACCAACACTTTGTTCTCTACTATATTTGCATATTCTGGGGGAATTTATAGCAAGAAAAATAACTTCAGGTATATATCCCCATGTGTATCCAACCAGCCATCTTTACTCTCAAAATAAAAGTCTAATTAGGTAGAATTCTATAAAGCACTTAAGAGCTACTCCATGGAAAGAAACCTTAGTGAAAACTCAGACCCTAAATTAGTCCTCCGAGAATCCCTGCACAGCCCCATTTTAAAGTGGGGAATATCAGAAGAAAGTCATTCGCTGGGAAGAGTCCCTGGATTCAAGCAGAGAATCTAGAATCCTAGGTGGTAGGTGCAGATTACCTCTCCTTAGGGTGAGTTCTTTTTTCATGTATTTACTTGATAAAGGGTTAGAACATACTCAAGAAAATCTCAGCTGTTAATTTTATTTTGTTTATGGGTATAGAAGCTAAAGGCTCAGGAAACACTCTCTCTCCATTGGCTGAGGTGAGCATCTTTTGTCCCTTGTATGACGAGTTTATCAAAATCCTAAATAAAGAAACTGCATTATTCTCACCTGCAAGAATTTGGTTTTGTGTTCTTAATGATTGGGTTAGCAGTAGTGTCTTAACAAGCCCTGGTGTCAGAATTACAGGGAGAAGTTTTACTCTTGGCATATAGCATTTCTTTGGCATTGTCTTGACTGTGGCTTTTGAATTGTTAGTGTTTGATGTGTGTGTCCCTGTTTCAGCTTGGAGAACAGCCATCTCTGGAAGAAGCCATCAGAATAGCATCTAGGATCCAACAAGGAGAAACGCCAGGGTTGGATGATTAATCCTCAGAACAGTGGAGCAGTAAAGCAGGAGGAGCCTTTCATCTCTGGCAGCAGAAATCCATGAAGCCCGGGCCCAGGAAGATTAGAAGTTTTCCATTCCTGTTACACTGTACACATTTTTATGCAAGAGTGGAGAACATTTTATTCTTGACACTTTTGTGTATATAACTCTTGGAATAGATTCCCAAACTGATTAATTGTGTACAAGGAAGTATGAAATTAGGGCAATACAGTAAATTTTCATGTTACTCTTATCAGATTGCAAACTCCTAGAGTTTACATGAAAGACTAGTGAAGTCTTATGCAGTCTTATGATGGATTTTTAACTTACTGTGAAAAAAAATAAAGGCTGTATCTAAAATGTCAAAGGTTCTATATGTCAAACAATCATAATTCCAAAAGCCATCATGGATAATAAAGGATGTAAAGCCTTCAGATATTTCCCCCAGTTAGCAGAGTGTCTGCAGTTTTTGTTTTACCATATACTTGTCCATTTTTATTTGTATCTCATGGTTTAAAGATTGTTCCTTTACGGTTTCCCATCCCTGTTAAATACCAACTCTTTGAGCTGAAATGCTAATTATATTAGCATTACATTGGATTATGTATAAAATTACAAAGTTTGGTTATTTAAAATTAAAAAGTTAAATCCAGTGTTTTAGTTTTGTTAAAGATTTCACTTAGTGTTCAGTATTTTTGTTACTGTTTTTAAAAAATAATGAATTATCAAAGCTTAACCACAGGTTAGTACCCAGGATAACAGTGCTGTTATTGGAAATGGCTTTCCTCTGAAAATTAGGTTAGTGGGTTGGTGTAAATTATTTATTTTTGCTTATGTGATTTTGTTTTAAAGCTTATTTACCCTAAAGTTTATTATTAATTTTGAATACAGCAATTTTTAAAATGTTACCTTTATATTTGTTTTATTAAATTGATGGTGAAGGGGGGAAATGTTGCAGAAAATACCAAAAAAGTAATAGATTATATCCCAATACATGTATTGAGAGTATGTTGGGGTTGTTTTGTTTTGTTTTTGGAGATAAAGTCTCACTCTGTTGCCTCAGCTGGAGTGCAGTGGGGTCACTGCAACCTCCAACTTTGGGGCTCATGTACTCCTCCTGCCTGAGCATCCTGAGTAGCTGGAACTACAGGTGCATGCCACCTCGCCCAGCTAACTTTTTCTATTTTTAGTAGAGACGAGGTCTTGCTCTCCCTCAGGCTGGTCTTGAACTCTGGAGCTCAAGCAATCCTCCCACCTTGGCCTCCCAGAGTGCTAGTATTATAGGTGTGAGCCACCGCGCCCAGCCTGAGAATATGTTATATATCAAGCACAGAATAAGTATTTTTCCATATATTTTCATATATTCACAACAATTTTGTGAGATGTGTGGGATTTACTACCCCTCTTTTGTACGTGAGGAAACTGAGGTTCCAAAGAGGCCAATTATCTTACCCAGACCTATGGAAAGGCAGGGCAAACACTTTGAGAACCCAGACTTTCTCACTCCAAATCCAATGTGTTTTTTGACCATACCACAGTTACCTCCTCAAATGATAATTTGTGGCAGAGATTATCAAGATGAACTGTGGTAATTTCTGATTGCCTAATAACCTAAGTAGTTGAAAAACCATTTTCTAATGTTGAAAATTCAGCATACCATCCACTGAGATAAAAAAAAAAGATGAAGGGCTATTCCTCAGCAACCTCTCTTGTACTGTCATTCACTGAGCTTTGTCTACCAGAGAGCTAAAATGTGGCTGTTTTTCATTTCAAGCTTTACAGTAGAAAGGGGGGAATGTTGTGCTGTTTTATTTAATATGTTATCTTTGGCCAGGTTCTTTGAACTCTTGCTAAAAAGGGTCATGACTGAACCATTTGAAATGGTAAACCCTTCAGGGTTGGGCAAGGGATTGGTGGTTTTTCCTTCAGAACTACACACACACACTATAAAAAGCTAGTCACGCACAGCTCCAGTCTACATTCACAGAGACATTTAGACACACACACAACTCCCACCTGAGGCCTGCTGTGGCTCAGGAAGGGTTGGGAAGGGTGGGATGAAGATCAGAATCGTGGAAACCACAGGGTGATCCCAGCCTCCTGGTGCCAGTCCTGGCTGCTGACAGGAAGCTTCTCCCCACTGGGCCCAGCCAAGATGCTCTGCTTCCAAGGACCAAAATCCAAGCTGACAGCCTCCCTCTGCCCCTTGCAGCAGACTTTGCTCAGGTTCCAGGGCATTTCCCCTTAGTCCCAGCCCCTCTGGCAGTTGGATTGGGCAGTGCTGAGATGGACTGTTGTGGTGTGCCTGAAAATGCCTTCCTACTGGCACCCAGAGAAAAGGGCATGGGGCACTGCTGGTTGTCCCTGTCCTGCCTTCCTGGGAGTGGGACCACATGAGCCTGGCAAGGTGATCTATTTCCCCCAAGGGAAGACTCTAGCTGAGGCGCCGCCAGTTGCTAGTGAAGATGCTGTGGGTCTTATCACAGGGCAGGATACGGAAGGGAGTCCTCCAAAGTTGAAAAATCCCAAAAAGGCACATGATGAAAGTAGAGTACATTCTAGCAAATGGAGCCAGTTGGAGTACAAACCTGTGCAATATGATCCAGACATTGCACTGGATCACTCTGCTCTACCCGACACAACTTGAGGCCACTACAAAGTGCATTGCCTACAGTCTGCACTCCTGGTGAGAACTTAGGAACTAGACTAGAGTAAGGAGGGACTTGGCTTCCCTTATCCCTCACAGGTGGCAGCTGCCCAGAGGGCCCGATCTTTCCTTCCCCCACACCCACTCCCAGGCTTTCAGGGACAAACTAACTGTGGACAGTTTCCAAGCAGCGAGGAGGGCTGAAGTTGACTGCATTCCATTTATCAGCCCAAGAATAGAATTTATGGTCTAGTATCTCCTGGCTCAGATAAGATTGCAGACCAGTTAACTATCAGACCCCAACAGTGAGCAGGCAGTGGGAAGTGACAAGGAAAGGGGCAGAGTTGAAGTCTAGTACCAAGGAGGGAAAGGGAGCATGTGCGAGTAGAAAAAGGCTGCCTCAGCCTCCTCCACGATAAGCAATTTCTCTGCTTAGCTTTCCTTTCGGGATAGGGGATCTTTCAAATAATTCTCCAGCCAAGTTCCCTCTTTTGCCTGAGGAACAGGCTGGCTTCATGGGCGTGAAACCAGTACAGTTTGAGCAAGACCCTATACTCAGAAGGGCCCTGCACTTGAGGTTTATTGCTCTGTGGTTGCAGTCCTGAAATTCATAATAAGTCTATCTTTAAATGTGTGTTTTGTAAGCGAAGGCCCATGCCACGATGTAGCAGGGGCTGGAACTTGGAGCCTGGGCTTACACAAAGTCCCACCCCTGCTGCCTCCCTGGAAGGGCTCTCTCACCACCACTCTCCCCCCTGGCCTCCCCCTTCTTGCCCTCACCCTGCAACTGATGCCACCCTCTGCCCTTGGCAGGGGCCTGGTGCCAATGCAGGCAGGGTCAGTGTCCAGTGCATGCACCCTCTGGAGTAGGGCATGGTGGTGGCCATCCCCACCCGAGGCTGGCAGCACCGCAATGCTCCTGGTGGGTGGCCAGCCTTAGCTGAGCCTTGACAAGGGTGAGCCTCCTGCCTATCCCTTTACCAAGAGTGTCACAGCTCTGAGTTTAAAGACACTTGGTCTTTAAACTGCTACCCCAACCCCATTTGCTGTGGGCTGGGGTAGCAGGGCTGTGGAAAGGGGAGACACCCAGCAGGAAGGGGAAGCTGGCAGCTGACAGGTCCTATGCCCTGGAGGACTCTCAACTGGCTCTGCACCTGAAGGAATTCCTTCTTCCTCCCTGCAACTTTACAGAGTCTGGTTTGTATTTCTCTCTGCTAGCCAGCCTGAGACTCTCCTGGGATAAGCCACAAAATACAAATTGTGTAATTTCAGTGATTCCAAAAATGAGTTAAATACTCTGATATTTGCATTTAAAATTGGAATTGCTGCCTGGCATGGTGGCTAATGCCTGTAATCCCAGCACTTTGGGAGGCCGAGGCAGGAGGATCACTTGAGACTAGGGGTTCAAGACCAGCCTGGGCAACATAGTGAGATTCATCTCTGCAAAAAATATTTTTTTAAAAATTAGCCAAATGTGGTGCCACAAACACAGTCCTAGCTACTTGGAAGGTTTGGGAGAATTGCGTGAGCCCAAGAGTTCAAGGCTGCAGTGAGCTATAATCATGTCACTGCATACAAGCCTAGGTGACAGAGTGAAACCCTATCTCAAAATAAATGAATAAATATAAAAATAAATAAAATTGGCATTGCATGTGATATAAAAATGAAGGACAAAATTCATGCTAAAATTTTAGATATTTAATTTTTCTTTATTTAGAACATTGAATGTCAAATAATAGGCACCATGACAAGTCATGGGAGAGACTGTAAAAAAAGGAAAAAACTTATGTCTCCCTTTTTTGTGTGTGTATAGTAAAATATACATAACATAAATTTACCATTTTAACCATTTTTGAGTGTACAATTCAGTGGCATTAAGTGCAGCCCTCTGTATCCATGGGCTCCACATCTGTGGATTCAACCAAACACGAATGGAAAATATTCAGGAAAAAAATTCCACAAAGTTCTAAAAAGAAAACTTGAATTTTTGGTGCACCAAGTACTACATTGAATCCATGAGAATGAAGTGACATGTGGGCATTGTACTGGGTATTATAAGTAATCTAGAGATCACTTAAAGTACACAGGAGGATGTGCATAGGTTATATGCAAATACTACACCATTTTATATCAGAGACTTGAGCATCCATGGATTTTGGTATCCTCAGGGAGTCCTGGACCCAGTCCCCCACAGATACCAAGGATGACTATATATTCACGTTGTTGTGCAACCATCACCAATTCATCCCCAGCACTTTTTCATCATCCCAAACGGAAACTCTATGCCCATTAAACAATAACTGTGTTCCCCCTAACCCTAACCCCTGGCAACCACCATTCTATTTTCTGTCTCTATGAATTTGACTATTCTAGGTACCTCATATTATATAATATTTGTCTTTTTGCATCTGACTTCATGCACACCTTTAAAAGCACCCCTTTCCTGATTTCTGACCACCAGGCCCAGCATTTTCATTTTGTACTGAGCCTCACAGATTATGTCACCTGCCCTGCTGAGAAATGTGCTTCTATTAGCACTTCTCTTTTTGCTGCAGATGTGTGATGTGTGTTTGGGGAATATATTATCTGTTTCTTCTGTTACACTATGGGCTCCCTTAGGACAACTGGGAATTTAAACTTCCCTGTAACTCCTGGAGGCCTCACAGAGTAGCAGGTCTCCTCTAGCTGTTCGCTCCAACTCTAAACTTATCTGGCTTGAGATGTACAGAGAGACTCCTCAATGCTCCATGCAGTAGTTTCATTTTGCTTCCAGAGCATGGCTAAAATTGAAGGACAGAAAGTCATGCTGAGAGTGAAGAATACTCAAAATTCAGGATAATTGCATGAATAGTTAAAATGAAAATTGTCTGGCAAAAGGTGTTTCTGCTCACTTATCTGCATTCAGATGAAAAGAAATAAGATTCCAGCTCTGAGGTCAGTCCTAAATTTCTTCCTACTTTGCCTCACCCCTGTAAGGGTTTCCCTGGGATGCACAGGAGGCAGCATCCAAAAGTTTTCCATAAACCTAAACACCTTCACTAATCTGCCCCCAAAGCCCCAGAGCCTAAGGAAGGATTGTGCAAAACAGCTGTAATCTAGGTTGCAGCCTCAGGCCCAGCACCCTTCAAATTCTGCAATATCTAAGGGAAAAGCAAAGAGGTATAATCTCTGCTGCCCTGGGCAAGGGGGTTGGCTTATCTTTTTAGATAGGAAACCTTTACCCCAAGCCAGCGACAAGGCTTTAATGCTGTTGAGGGCCAT